CAGGCAGCTGCTCCTCAGGCAATGTCACTGCTCTCCTGAGATGTAGGGCTTTCTACTTCTAGTGCTAAATCCCCATCCCATTGCATGCCACTCACTTATTTTACCCAGGAATGGTTTAAGATGGTATGCCCATGCATTTATTTTAATGCCCTGGGATTTTATCATTTACATAGAAGTTGTTACTGGTTTATCATATGTAGAGCAAAGAAGTACTTATAATTTTATGTTTTGGTACCTATTATAACTGTCTTCTGCACATTACTCCAGACGTCCTTTCCAGCTCCATCATTCTTGTTTGCATACCTTCCCTAACTTTTCCTTCCTCTAGTTATAAAAGTTCATCACGTAAAAGCTGACAGATTCAGCCTTCTCCTTATCTTCATTTTGTAATACGTTCTTTCTGTATCTCTTCTGTGCATGGCACAATGTGGTCTTTCCCACAGCAGATCATGGTTTCCTCACCTCCTCGGAGGTTGTAGTCAGCTGGACATCAGGTCCACATCAGTCCCTTCTTGTAGAACCATTAAGGCTAAGTTCTGCCATGGCCCCTGCTATTTCATCTTGTCTTTCCCATTGTACTGAGGAAACCTGGACTGCCAGGATGGTGGTACCTGCACCAAGAAAAACACTGTAAGGCTGATGAATCACAAAACTGACCAAACAACAACAAAAAAGCCCTTATGAGTGAAAAGCTTTTTAGAGGATGTTCGTTTAGTGCTGTCATGGAGCAGGTTTGTTGGATCAGGCTCTGAAATGCAGCAATAGCTGTGAAATGGCCAAATTGGCTTGGGGAGGGCATCGTGTTTACCTATTTTAAAGTATCTGGACTGTCAATACAGCAAGAGGAATGAGTGTAAAAACTAAATGATGCAGAGAGCATACCACAAGCTCTGAGTTCGGTATTTGAATGCCTGATGTGGGTCAGGGCTTTTACAATAGTTGGATTCAATATAAATTGTCAAGCTAGGAAGTCAGCTCCAAAAATCTGACCTGGGTCTAAGTCTCAGTTTTGGTCCTTCTTTCCGTTGAGCTTACCAGCATGCTCCAGGTCTGGGGTGCCCATTTGCACCTCTATAGACCAGAATCAGAATCAGAAGGCGGCCTTTCTGAGTTTAGGCCGGAGAAGAATAACACACAGTGCAGTTGTTTAAACAACTCAGCACAACCATCATTCACTTTTAAAAGGTTGTTTGGAGAACTTAGATTATTTCCTCATCCAAAATACATTTTGGATAGTATATGGAGTGCAGACTGTTCTGGCCCAAGCCTGAGTGGTGGTGCTAGATCGCTTTGTAGCTTCCATATTTATTTAAAAAAAAAAAAAAAAAAAGAGAAATCAGTAGGTTCTTTCAGTGTCTAAATTTAAACAACCCTAATTATTTCAAGCAATTTAAAAAGGAACATAAATCTCACTTGTTTATTACAGCTGCTTCATGAAAACAGCAGCTACAAATAATACCCTGTAATGAAAATGTAGCTAACACTGTCATGAATTAACCAACAAAAGGATGAGCGTAGGGGATCTGGCCAAAGGCAGCATTTCCTTCTCTGGAGGGAGGCTCTTTGCGTGTGGAGGTGGTTATTACCTGAACACTGGTTTTATCTCCTTGGGTGAAATGAAGACTTTGACATTTCTGCATAGATGAATGCCACTTTTGATTGGGAAAAGGTCTGAGCTATACTTAATTTTTATGTACTTTTGCACTTTCTCCAGTACATTTCTTGAGGAAGGTAGGTAAGCAAGATGCAACAAACATGTTAATAAATCAAAGATATTTTTTAGGAGATGGAGAATATTTTGCGAGCAGTAGCAAAGACTCTAGAGAGTAACAGTAAAAGAGCGCAGGTCAGGCCCTGGCAGTCTTAATTCAGGCACAATTTCAGCTGTCTTCTACAAAGTTAAACAGCTCAGGAGATTCAATGTGAGGAAATAAGCAGAGCAGGTCGTTATTCAGCATTGCCATTCATGCTAAGGTCATGGCTGAGTTCCCCGGTCACTGTTTGGAACCTGTTGTGTTAAGCACTGAAGAAAACACCTGAGGCCACGCAGTCCAAATTTACATTTTATAAAGCAAAAACCCAGGAGCAAAATATTTGTATTGGCAATCATTGTATTTGGCCTGTGTAGAGCATCGCAAAGGGAATAATTGCCTCCTCGGGGATCAGGGAGCAATAGAGCTGTAGGCTGAGATGTTTATTTATGTCTTTTCTTCCAAGTCACATTTTGAGACATTAGTGTTGTTTATACCTGTGAAATTAGCTGCAAAGACATACAAATTCAGGATCTAATTGTCAACTGATTTACTCCAGCATAACTTTGTTGATTCCAGCAGCATTGCTATTGCTTTATCGTTGTATGAACACGATCAGTCAGCTCCCCTTTTTCAGGAATCAGTCCTGCTGACCTTGAAGCCCATGGCACTTCTGCTCTAGCTCTGAGTCCCTATGTGGGCAAAATCCCAGTGGTCCACTTCTATCTTACTGATCCACTTTTGCTAATGAATAGCACTGGCTTCAGTGGACTTATTTCAAATGTATGCAAGTGTTATATAGACCTTGTCTATATAGGATTCCTCCCCCCATGAAATCATCTCAGTATGATGGAAAGCTCCGTTAGCACTCTGAAGCCGTATTCTGATGGTACTCACAAGTTATGGTGTAGCCTGGGTTTGTTTGAGTAATTCTGACTATGGGAGAAGAAATTTCTTGTAACCACACACAGTTTCTGCTGCTGCTGCTCAATCCCTGCTTTTAAGCATTTCTGACGCTTTATTAATGATAAAAACTGGATTCCCAGTTGCCTCCTGCTCTTGGGCAGACTCACTGAAAGACAGATGCTTTGTTGGGGTTTTTTTTCTCCTTTGAGAGAGTTAGAACGGTTTTTTAAGTGGGGTAAGCATAGGAAGTGCACCTTTCCTAGGCAGGGGGAGTGTTTGGCACCTTACAGACATCTGGCTCTGTGTCTCTCTAGGAGGTTGCCTTCCCTCATAAGAGAAGAGAGCCATTTCTGTCATACGCGATTCAGGGTTTGCTCTTTCCTGGGGTGCTGGCACACAGAAAGCTTGATTTTTGCCAGGTACTGAACGCCTCCTGCAAGGTATTGAGTGCCCTCCTATCCTTTGCAGCCAAAAAGGAATTGATTGCTCTTGGCACCAGGCAGATCTGGACCCAGAAGACCACAGGTAGTATTTACCAATTATTTATGTGCTTTCGCATGCCAGAGGTTGTCTGAGTTGATTCCCCTAGCATATAAGAGGTTTCAGGCCTTAATGGCACTTGCCTGCCACTAAACCCATTATTTTATTATTTAAAAAAAAAAAATAATAATACAGTAATAAGCATGACATTTATTGCATTGCCATGGGGAAATTAAAACCCCCCAAATTAACTACAGTCCAAGTAATTATTAGCTCTTTAGAGCTATTGCAACTGTGTGAGTTGTGTACCCTGAGTGAGCACCATATGACAACTTACTGGGGCACAGTGAGTCGCAGGACACATTGTGGACAGCAAGAATTGCTTGGCGTGCATTGTAACATTCAGCAGTGGGTTCTGTTTGGTTTTCTTAAAGGAATATGTTTTTACTCTGACAATAAAATGAGTATTGTCTGATATGCTGCCACCAGGGACTGTTGCTTATTTTGTACTTAACCTGGAGCTTACCCATTTGTCACTCACACCCCACC